GTTCCAGTCAGCTGGGCATCCGGCTCGACCGAGAGAAGCATCGACGACGGAGCACTGGGGTTTGGCAAGCTCCGGGGAGAACTCCTCGAAGAGTTTCATTGGTAAGTCAATGGGGGTGGTAGAGTGTTTTACTTTTAGTTTGTCCAGGCGTTTTGCTACTTGAAATTCTTCTAGTAAGTCAGTGGGAAGGGGGGCCAGTAGGTAAGCGGGTCGAGCGGTCGCGTCAAGCCGGGGGAGCGTCCGGCACAGAGTAGCGAAATGGCGATTTGTGTGCTCGGCTGCGCATTGAGACGCGTAGACGCCGCGGCCGACAGAGGGAAGCCTCGGAGGTACGGCAGTAGTTACGGACTTAGAGATTCGCATATGCGGGAGATGGGTAAAGAGCGGTTTTGAAGTAGAGTTGGTTAAGAGGAGTAGGTTTTAAATGGTAGGAAGGTTCGATAGGGGCAGTTCGCGGGAGAGCGGACGGTCGCAGAATGCGTGCGGGTGCACATTTTGACTCGACGACACGTACTCGAGGAAATACGCGATGCGGCTGTAATGCGTTTTTGGTTATTAGCGGCGTGTCGTTTATTAGGCATCGATTTATACTCGTACGTAATTGTGGCATTCGAAGTACGCGTGTAGTTGCGTTCGTGTCGACGCGTGTATCGTTAATGTGCATAATACTTAAATTTGGCGGACGAGAAGGGGAAGGAATACGAGGACGGCGTTTATTTTGTAACCCCTCCCTTCGTTTATTTCTTTTCCCCCCGGCTCTCCGTCGTCGTTCTCGTTCCTCCTCCTTCTTCGTGTCCCTTTTCTCCCGTTGCCGTTTCCCCTCCTCCTCCTCGTGTTATCTGTCCTTGTTTCCTCGTCCCCGTGTTTGAATGCGAGTCCCTTCGTTTTCCTCCCCCCTTTGTGTTTGTGTCACTCCCTCCTCATCCTGTTCGTTGTCACCCTCCCATTGGTGTCGATCCTCTCCTCTTCCCTCCGTCGGTCGTTGTGTCCGTTTATACGCGTGTTGTTGGAAATGTAATTTGTTGTCGTATTCTGTTGCTTTGTGTCGATTTCATTTATTGGCGTTGTTATAAATGTGTTTGTAAATGTCGTGAGTATGAAATTGATATTGTGGTGATATTTGAATAAATGAAGAGGTGTATTTTGATTTGTAAAGTAATTGTTATTGATAATAATAATAACAATGTTAAGTTATTATGCGTGTAATGTGTTTAGTCTGAAATATTTGTCCTCTGGCGCGCGAATACGCAGTCGCGTCGAGAAATGGCGACTACGAATTGTCGTTTTGCGTGTGCCCGGTCATTTATTGTGAAATGGTCGAGGTGGAGATGTTGGAAAGTGTAAGTTAATGGTGTAAAATTGATGCGAATGAAAATGTTTTATTGTGGTGTAGTTACTTTTTGAAGTTGAATGGAGTCAATTGTGTAGTTGTAATATTTTGTTGTGATTTCTTTGAATGTGTTTTGTCGTTTGAATGGTCGTATAAAACGGTTGAAGTTATTTGTGGACTTTAAATATTAGGGAATTGTCTGTAATGTTATAAATGGGCACAGTTGTAATATCGTCGAGTTATTTGTCTGTCGTCGTATTGACGCGTGGGCTCGTAAAAAGAAAATTGTGTTTAGTCACTTGTGGAGTGTTAAAAATGATTGAATTGTGTTGTTTGAATTGATTAAAGTTAATTGTGGACTTGTAATATTTGTTGACATGCAATTTGTTATGGTTGTTGTAATGTAGCCTACCAGTTATTGGTATACTCGTAATCATTTTTGAGTCGTATAATTTTGGTGGAATTTACGGGAGGTCTTTGTACTTTGAATAAGTTTTGGATTTGTATTATGTTTGAATATATGCAAGTTATTTGTGGATGTGGAATATATTTTGTTTTGTGGACTTGGAAAATGTGTTTCATGTGTTGTGGACTAGGAATAATTTATAATGTTTCTTGAGTTTGAATGTTTTTTTGCCCTGTAGTGGAATTCTCCCCTACAAACGCTGTTTGTCGCTGCCTAGCTGACCCCACCAATTCCCCAGTGTATGCCTCGTGGTGTAGGTCAACCAGCGCCGCCATACACCACGGAGCGGGGGTCAACTGCTAAGTCACGCCTACCCCCGCTATTTAAGACCTGACCTCGTGGTGAACTCTCTCTTTCTACCTACACCAACCAGCTAGCAACACCTCCGCCTGCCTGGCGGTCCTCTCTCCCGCTGGCGAGCATGGCGACCCACAAGCTGTCCTTCTCTGAGCGTCCTCACCAACCAGCTCTCTCTACATCACGCTTGTAACCATGTTGCCTTTCCAGCACCAAGCTGCATTGTACATCCAATACAACATGTATATAGAGAGCGCATTGTGAGTTTCCTTTCTCCATCCCATCGTGAGTGTGAACCAAACATCTCATACCCCACAGCCCTTTGAATATAGTTTTTGTTTTGTGGACTTGGAATAATTGATAATATTTGTGGACTTGTAACAATTTCTGTTTGTGGACTTTGAATAATTTATTATGTTTGTGGAGTTAGAATAATTTAGAATATTTGTGGACTTTGAATAATTTGTTGTTTGTGGACTTGGAATAATTTTGTATCCTTTGTGGACTTTGAAAAATTTATTGTTTGTGGACTTGGTATATTTTTCATGTATGTGGACTTGTAATCTTTGTGAAGTTAGTATTTTTGTCATTCTTTGTGGGCTTGTTAAACAATTATTATGTTTGTGGACTTGGAATATATTTTTTGTTTTGTGGACTTGTAATAATTGAATATGTTTGTGGACTTATAATAAATTATTCAAAGTCCACAAATATTCAAAATTATTACGTTTGTGGACTTAGAATAATTGAGAATATTTGTGGACTTAAAATAATTTGAAATGTTTGTGGACTTGGAATATTTTGTATCGTGTGAGGCCATCGAAAATTTTTGATGTTTTGTGGACTTGGAATGTTTTTTATCTTTTGTGGACTTGGAATAATTTATAATATTTGTGGACTTAGAAAATTTATTATCCTTTGTGGAATTGGTATTTGTTATTGTTTGTGTACTTAGGAAAAGTTCTTATCCTTTGTGAACTTAGAAAAATTTGCATCCTTTGTGGACATAGTTTTTTTTTCCATGTGTGTGGACTTATAAAAATTTCTCATCCTTTGTGTACCGTACTTAGAACAATTTCTTATCTTTTGTGGACTTATAAAAAATTAATGTTTGTGAACTTAGAAAATTTTTTATCCCTTGTGGACTTGGAAAACTTTTTCGTGTTGTGGACTTAGAAATTTTTTTATCTTGTAGATTTTTTTTTTCATTTGTGTGGATTTAAAATATTTTTCATTCTTTGTGGACTTAGTATTTTTTTATCCGTTGTGTACTTAAACATTTGTTTGTGGACTTAGTTTTTTTCATGTGTGTGGACTTAGAATAATTTTTATCTTTTGTGGAAAGTTTTTTTTTTCAATGTTTGTGGACTTGGAATATTTTTCATTCTTTGTGGACTAAGTATTTTTTTATCCTTTGTGTACTTAGAAAAAATTTCTTATGTTTGTGGACTTAGAATTTTTTTTATCCTTTGTGGACTTAGTTTTTTCAATGTGTGTGGACTTAATTTTTTTTTCATCCTTTGTGGACTCGGAATAATTTTCACATTGTGTGGACTTGGTTTTTTCCCCCATGTGTTGTGGACTTAGAATTTTTTTTATGTACAGTATGTGGACAGAAATATTTTCAATGTATAATAAAAGAAAGCATATAATCAATGTCTTTATTTTTCATAAGTTAACATACAGCCATATTAGATTTGCAAAACAAAAACAAGATTTCATAGACAGCTGGCATTGTAGAAAACAGGAGTTTTTTGAGCCGTAGAAAACCAGATAAAAATTTCCCATTTTCTTTGGAAAATTTCAAAGTTGAACAGAAAACGGGATTTTTCGAAAAACCTCATCTTTTTAAGATAGGTTCTGGCAGCCCGTTTTTTATTATATAAGTTATTTTAGAGTGTTTATTGAGCAACAAATGTGATTTTTCAACCGAAAGAAAGTAGTTATTCCAAATTAGTTTCAAGTTAGTATTTTAATGTTTTGTTTGCAAACAGACTTTAGCCATATTGTCGATACCGACAATAGGTTTAGTCGTAAAGCTCTCGACACAGATATCGTGTCTATGGACTATTGTCGTGTGATAGATCGACAATGTCCGAGCTTTTGTTTGCAAACAAACATCAAAACACCAACTCACAACCAATGAGGAATAACTACTCTCTTTCAGTTGAAAAATCACCTTTGTTACTCAATAAACACTCTAAACAACACCACATGTGTTCCCGTGTACCTGTCAGAAAAGGGAGAAACAAAAACACCATTAAAACTCACAATAATACAAGTCAAATTATTCAACACATTAACTAATCTCAATAATGCATTTCAACATCTTTACTTTACTTTACTAATCATATTACATCAACTAATCTCAATGATGCATTTCAACATCTTTACTTTACATATAATCATATTACATTAACTAATCTCAATTCTTCACACATTACCTTCATCTTCTCATGTCGCTCCACTTCTTCTGGTGCCGAATCACTTGTCGTCGTCTTCTACCTTATGTGTCACTCAAAATGCACATCAGGCAATAAAGAAAACACAAAATTCAACTCAAATACATATATTCTATACACTTAGCAATATAATACATTACAGTACATCAAGCATCATCTTCATAGGGACAACACCTATGCATTCATAGAACATCATCTCCTCGACTCCATACACCCCGGTCACTGAAACACGGCTACAAGTTCACAGGACATCTTCTCGGCTCCAGTCACAGGGACGACAGCTATACCTTCACAGGACATCATCTTCTCGGCTCCATACACCCCGGTCACTGGAACACGGCTACAAGTTCACAGGACATCTTCTCGGCTCCAGTCACAGGAACGACGGCTAGAAGTTCACGGGACATCTTCTCGGCTCCAGTCAGAGACGACAGCTATACATTCACTGGACACCATCTTCTCGGCTCCATACATCCTGGTCAATGGGACGACGGCTATACCTTCACAGGACATCATCTTCTCGGCTCCATACACCCCTCACTGGGACCACAGCTATTAGGTTCACAGGACATCTTCTCGGCTCCAGTCACGGGGACGACACCTATACCTTCACAGGACATCATCTTCTCGGCTCCATACACCTTGGTCACTGGAACACGACTACAAGTTCACAGGACACCTTCTCTGCTCCAGTCACAAGGACGACAGCTATACCTTCACTGGACACCATCTTCTCAGCTCCATACACCCCGGTCAATGGGACGACGGCTATACGTTCACAGGACGCCTTCTCTGCTCCAGTCACAAGGACGACAGCTATACCTTCACTGGACACCATCTTCTCAGCTCCATACACCCCGGTCAATGGGACGACGGCTATACGTTCACAGGACGCCTTCTTCTCGGCTCCAGTCACAGGGACGACGGCTATACCTTCACAGGACATCATCTTCTCGGCTCCTTACAGCGACTACGCCCCGTCGCTTCAATCTGAAACCGAGAAAAAACAACAATAGAGGTCAACTCGTAATGGCCTTTTCTATCAAATGCATTATACCTACGAGGCAGTGCACCCGTCGGCTTCGTCGCACTCAGTAAACTCTTCGTGGTGCTCTTCTTATACTACCTACAATATACACTTCACGGCCACACTTCTAGGCAAACTATCATTTCCCATTGCTCAAATAATTCACCCACAAAAACACTCTTGGTATGGAGCAACCTGCGCGGTTATTCCCGGCTCCGTCGTCGACGTGCCTCTTCCTTTCTTCGCGGCCCATCCTCTTCGTAACTGCCGAGGTAAATGCACAATACTTGGTCGTCTCCTTCCTTACTCTTACCACGAGGAACATACCCTACACCACTCGCTCCACTGAAAAAAACAAACATATCCATAATAAACACCATTGCAAAAAGCTTCATGCATCCACTCTCCTTCACGATCAACAACACTCCCTTATGCCTACAACAACAAATCAAACCCTTTTAGGCATGTCTACCAAAACCAAATTTCTTCCTTTTATACCGCTACAAATGCCAACTTCTTACCAATATATACATACTCTACTACAAACCATTCATCAAGGCTAGTACCAATCATTACACAGCCTCCAGTGTGTAACAACAATACTAGCCTGCTACCAACTAACTTCTATATAATTACAATACATACCCACAACAAATTCACCTTCCCGCCCCTACACTTCCAAACCTTTCATCTTACCCAAATTCAAACAAACACTTCCTCTTTAACACAAACAATCGGCTCCTTACCCTTTCGCTCCCAACTCCGTCGCCGAGTAACCACTGCCTCTTCCACCATCACTGCCGCCTACCATTCCAAAAACTCCAATCCGGCCTTAAAAACAAACAATTCAACACATTAGTTCCCACCACAACAATTCAAAAACCTTTCACGCCCTATATAAACAACTTACTTTAATCTTCACACTGCTTACCACAAGCTTCTACCAACACATTTTACAAACTAAAACAAAAACTCAAAAAAACTTCTAAATCTCCATCATCGTTAAAACCTTTCTGTTTACATTACTTACAGTACAGCAGAGGGCCAACACTTCATATTACTCGATTTGACTTTTCCGATCACCTCTTGTCAACTTTCAAATACAAAGTCAACTTACCCATCAGTAGTCCAATTAGTCAATACCTGCACTTCCACCTCCACAACCTGAAAACACAAATTATTTCATTACCAAACACACACTTCAACTCTATATTCTTATCCATAAACAACTTAACTCATTTCCTATTGCACCAACTACTCCTCACATGTGCTCCCAGGCAATATCACAGGCAGCGCCAAGTATCAACACTCGACCGTCTCAAGTATAAACCACACACTTTCGCGCCCTCTGGCTAACTGCAGTCAAAGCAAGTCTCATACCCCTCAACACACAATCCCTAGCATTATCACCGAGTCAATGGGTACTGCTACCCGAAAAAACTCATATATATCACTTGCCTCTTATACAACAACTTTTCACAAACAACAAACTTTACCTAAAACTTTCAAATACAATAACAACTCACCTTCAAATAATACATTGCGCAATTTTACATCACCGTATCCAGTGTCCTTTTATCCTCTTCGCCACTGATCGGCTTGTTAGCCGCTTGGGCGACCGGTCACGTCTCTTATCCTTGATATTCTTCACCAAAAGGTCGGCTCGCTAGCCGCCCGGGCGATCGGTCACGTCTCTGTCACGCACTGTTGGCAAATACTGGGCATGCACCGGCTCCTCAATATACCTGAACCCGCTCCAGTGTTGGTCAAGTCTTCTCTTGAAAGAGCTCACACTCGGTACCGTCACAGCACTCTTGTAGATTGTTCCAAGAGTTTACAACACTCACTCCGAAAAAGTTTGCCCTCACGGTTTTCTGGACTTGCAACTTCTTCAATCTTGAGCTGTGACCCCTTGTGGGGCGAGCGTCCGCCAGCTCCAAGTAATGACACTCGACTGAGTAGTGCCCCTTGAGATGCTTATAAACCTCAACTAGGTCCCCCCCTTGCCCGTCTGTAGTATAAGCTAGGCAACTTCAGGCGCTCCAATCTCTCAGGGTAGCACTCCTCTCCAACAATTCGCCCATATTCCTCCAACGGCAACATGAAAACAGAAAAACAATACGTAAGTGTTACAAATACTATACTCTTCACATTAAAACAAAGTATAGCTAAAACTTCAATAAACAATACTTACATCTTTACTGGCTCTCATTCAGTCGAACGTTAATATCCCTCTCCATTATCACACCAATCACGTCTTCTGGACTGCAACAACTCCTGTAGAAAACAATTACCACATCACTAACGACAACCAAAGTCCCTCTTCATTTTCATATCAAACGGACCCCCCCCCCTTCAACCAGTGTACATTACCTTTTAGCACATGCTGCACAGGACGACTGGTTACAACACTTGGCTACTTTCCAACATCGGCTTCTCCCCCACCTCTGCATGGCGACCATACTTCCTCTTCGTTAGTCGATACAGTCAACACAACTCTACAGTATATTCTACTCTACCATTTTTCGATTTCTCATTACCACACTTTTTTTTGGACACGGGGGCGGAGGGGCATCCCCCCTCCCCCCCCTTATTCAAGTGCAAGGTCAAGGGCACAAGCGCCTACACCGCCCAACTAGGCAGCATGCCAATTTTGTACTTGCCTAAAGGGTCATAGCATTTTTTGTCAAGGGCGTACAACCCTCCAGTCTTTAAAATTTGGTCGGCTAGCTCCGACCACTTTCCCCAAATACGAATTCGCAACTTTCGATTTACAAAGGGTACCTACTTTACTGCTAGGTCAACAGGGACCGAGGGGGGTCTAGGAAGTGTGTCCAACCCACTTTCCACCGGCCCGGGAATCGAACCCAAGACGTCTCGCTTGCGAGGCGAGAGCGGTACCGCACTACCGCCGGCGCCCCCACTTCGGCTGTGACCCCTTGTGAGGCGGGCGTCAGTCAGCTACGGTTCCTCGACTAAGTAGTGCCCTTTCACAGGTTTATACACCTCACTTAAGTCTCCCCTTGCCCGTCTACTATAAACTAGGCACTTTTGGCTGCACTAGGGAACCGACACCAACCTGAAAAAAAAGGTCACTCGTTACCCATTTATCAAAACTTTCTCACTACCTCTACTATACAAAAAACTCAATTTATCAAAACTCATTTACATTTGCTTCAATCTACAGCCGAGGCACAAAATTCAACATTTTAAACTTAACATTACCAAACTCAAGCCACAATCATTGATTTTAATGTCAACTTTTAACCTTTCTATTGCTCTACGGCACAAGACCACAAATCTAGTTCAATTTTCATAACTATTTTAGAAACTTCAACGTCACTTACCCATCACTATTCCCTAGTCTACCTCAAAAAATACCGGCTCCTTCCACCTCCAACAACAACCTGAAAAATTTTATTTATTACACAACCTATAAAACTTACACTAATTCTCAATACAAATATATTACCCATGAACCACTTATCAATTTTCTTATTACAGCTACCACTTCTCTTTAGTCAAAAACAGCTACACCTTCCATTTTAAATACCATGTTGACGATTTCCTCACCGCAAGTGTAGACGCGCTCGCCACCACCTACAAACTTAGGCCACGTTCTCTTCTCTATTCCACAGTATAAGCCTTCCGTACACCTGCAATAAAAGGCATCAAGGTTCAGCTTTCAATCACTTTCTCAAAACCCATCTAACACTAACCAAATTTAACTACTATTTTGACGTTATATTACATTCTATGGCAACAAATCAAATATGACTTTCCGACAGCAATCAATGTCAAATTACAATGAATTCACATATACCATAATAAACAATTTCAGAAAACAGTACTTACCACTCAACTTGAAAATTTACAACAAGCAAGTCTAAATTAATGAAACAAGAGCACATACACAATAACAATTAATAACACTGTAGTCTGCGTATAAAACTAACACATGAACCATAACAGACGGCACACTACCACCTTACCTCGCCTCTATCTACGACAACAAAATACGACCATAAACACACACACACACACACAACCGAGAGTGTAGTACCATTATATAGCCTCCAGTATATAACAGCACAAACACAACACCCATTCAAAAATTTCATTCACCTAAACTCTAAATTCTGGCTCTACCTCTGTGCCGGTCACGTCTCTGCAAAAATCAACCTTTCCCACGCTAGTTGGCTCAAACTTAACGCTCATGTCAAATCCCTATCTTTACCTCGCTAAATAAACTCTCAACATCCATAGTCACTTACCTGCCCTCACCCCTCGTTTACCAAAAGGTCGCTGGCGGAAGATTTATTTTCTTACCTACTTCTCCGGTTGAAGGGATCACTATAAGCACAACACCTCCAATCTTCTACTATACGCATCAAAACACACGCACACACCAGTATGCTTTACTACTTGGCACACACAAATGCTGCATCTTTTTTCCTTTTCACTCATTTTCACGATTCCACCACGATCACTTATCACTATGAACTGTCCAAGCTAAGGCACACATAAATGCTACAGCTTTCTTTTCTTCTCACTCATTTTCAAGATTCCACCACCATCACTTAAAACTGCATTGAAGTTCGCATCCAAACAACTTCAGGTCGAGAGAATATTTCAATAATGAACTTACTACACAATCTTCATGCTCATGAATTCACTTTCCGTCACTCATCAACGAAATGACAACACGATTTCTTGCAAAAACGCAACATATTCCGCCAATTTCACAAAATACACTATTAACTTTTTCAAACACTTAGCACGATACACACTTAAAGGATTTTATTTCAATTAAACTACCATTTCAACTTAAATAATCTGTACTCCGAGTACTTGAATTATGAACACCTTCAAAAGCTCCCAAGTTAACCACAAACACAGATCTTAAATATGTTTCACAGGCCTCAAATCAAATACATCTATGACTTGTGTTAAAAAGCACAGAAAAATGTTTAAGAAAACATATCGAAAGCACAAAACTAACAGCCGAACGAACAAATGTCAAAACACGAATATATATATATACTATACTTTACTTTTCTTTTCTTCTTCACAAACTACACTTTGTTATGTCGTTATACACGAGCACCAGACACAAGGATCGGATTGTAACTGATGCATCCTTGCCGGTTCACCCTTTATATACCCCACCTTGACGCCGACTCGCTGCTCAACCGAACTTCTTCTCCGGTCATCACCGTCACAACCAAACGAGGGGATTATCCCACATAAACTGCTCTTGGGTATTTACACCATAGGGACCACACAATTTGTGATAAGCTACCAAACCAAAAAGTTATGATAGCAACTCACAGCCTACAGTGGCAGTATCGTAGTCAATAAAGTTTCCTTCCAAGATGCAAATAACAAGATACCCTACATCTCCATTCCTTGGTGACAACTATCACCGGTCAAGTCACGACCCGAGTAATGTTTACCGTAAAATACTTTACGTACAGTATAGTATATTTATAACTTAATTATAACAATGTTACGTCTACTAATCCACATGATACTAAATGTTATATAATAATTCCCCTCATTATAACTACCCCAAGAGGGTGGAGTAGCGAGTGAAGCGAACCTAAACATCTACGAGTTCCGCAATTCAAAATATCATATTATTAGCAACACAAACAATAGCATTCATTAAAAATATACGGTTCATAGGAAAACCAGCTATTCGTCAATTTCAAGTATTAGCTAGTCTAACTTCTATCACGTGATAAACATGAATTTTAAAGAATGAAATTTACAAAGAATCCAAATGATTAAACAAATACATAAAATATTGTAATATGTGGAGGCCCCAACTGCCCACTCCCGGCCCTGCTCACCACTCTACTCTACTTTGTTGTAACGTGTAGGTTTTCTTCTCCATTCTTGTAACATATGTCTGTCTTTTGTTAATTTTAGTGTTTCTGGTCAATTTCAAGTAAAGGTTAATATTAACTCAGTGGTTTATTTTTCTCTCTTTATCACTGTACTTTGTCATCTTATTTTATTCGTCATATTAACTTTTTAGGCTATTCTATTTAATTGTATGACTTTTTTTAGATTACAATAGTACTATTTTATTGTATATGTCTCTTAACAATGTCTGAGGCCAATATTGCTGCTCTTGTAATATATTCACAATTTCTATCCAAGATAAGTAAAGCGGTGCATACCATTTCATAATATTTGCCTTTCACGTTTTACACTTCTTTCTTGTCACAATAAAGTTTCAATCGTTTACTCGTCATCAAACAACCATTGCCGGCGTTTAGCTTCGGCATGATGTCACTTTGACGTCATAACAAGGGAATGTTCCCATTGGCTAAAACTTAACCTAAAACAGCTTGTGATTGGTCAGGGAGTGTGGGCCGCCTGTATATAAAGCCTGGTAGACGGACGTGAACACAGAACACTGGTACATGACGACGCTACAACATCTGCTGTACAGTAGTGTAAGTGTATGTTGAAAAATTTTGTTTGTAAATTATTTGTTGGTGAATGGGAAGTTATTGTTTGAACTTAATCTTGACAAGAAAAGGTAAATTTTAGTAGTCTTGATATTAATTTAATTAAGCATTTTACATAAATTTTGCGTTAAACTATTCCGCCAGGCTAACACTTCATTAATCTTCTTGCTTTTTACTCTATTTCTAGAACACGCTCCTTAGACGACCGTGAACCCTATATGACCGAGGGAGCTGCAGTGTGACCACAAGAACAATTAGGAGCTTTTACAAACGTTGTCTTGGGTTTTTACCTGTTGCTGGAGAACTCCATCGCAACAATTACTTTCCTACTCGGTTCTACCGCGGTTAGTGGATCCTTCCCACAGCTTTTGAGGGAGTTTTCTAGTGTTAAACTACAAGCAATTTGTCTCTTCAAGAAACTGCTTTCCAGCGTCTTTGTTATTTCTACTACCCCTTTTGTGGGTCGTGAGCTGTATTGCATTACATTCTGTGTAAGTAAAGTCAAACGTGTACATATTGAATATACAGTATATGTAACCAATAAAGTTATTCTATTTATATTTTATGGAATAATCTAAATCCTTGCTTTTACTGAATCAAAACCCAGAGTATAATAAAATCTCTACTACGTCTGCTGTTTGTCCAGAAATGGTTCTCAAATATTGTACTGTACTTGATGCTGTTAAACGCTTCGGGAAATACCGTTCTATTCATCTTAAAATAGTGCTACTTCTTCACAACCTAACCCAATGGACAAATGACGAAATTAATGTGTGGGTTTTTACTTTCCAATCTTTCAAAGTACACATTCTCGTATCCAGAGTGGCCCTGTACTATAGTTCCATCTTCACTGGTTTAAACTAATCTTGGTGTAACGACCACGGTCATACACGTCAGTTAACGCCAAAATCAAATTATTCGTATTACGCTCAATAGCTCACAAAACATGTGACTCTGCTTTATTTGGAGTCCTTCATCTGAAGAGTCCGTTTTCTCATCACTTCAAAGACACCTCCGTTATCCCATTTCCTCTAACTTACTGAAACCGACCTCTCTATAAAATGAATTTGAGTGTGTGTCTAGACCACCAACAGTCACCCCTCATAGTGTGTGGTGGTGAGTCAATAGATCGTCCTCAGACTGGAACACCACCACACACTCGCCACAAGGATACAACTCAAAGGTATGCATGGAGGTGTCCTGACAGAAGTTGTCATAGATGAGCTCTGGCTGACACCCATCACTGAACTGTGGTAAAGATCCATCTTGTATGACTATAGTTGTTATGTTGTCTCCTGTGACAGATGGATCCTCGTTCATTAACTCTAAAGTACCGTCTGTGGTCAGTTGGTCTTGTCTGGTGTCAGCGTGTCGTGTCTTGTCTGGTGTCAGTGTGAGCCGTGCCTGTGTGAGCCGTCTTGTTTGTGTGAGCCATGTCTTGTCAGTGTGAGCCGTGCCTGTGTGAGCCGTCTTGTCTGGTGTCAATGTGAGCCGCGTCAGTCTGTGCGTCGGGTTTGTGTGGTGAACGGAGGGCTGTAGTGTTGTGTTGTTTACGCATGTGTACCATAAGGCCGGACTTATTCCTAAAGATACACTTGCATATGTTACAGATGCGGCCATTGTCTTGAGCTGATACCTGATGCATCTTCATGTGCACCTTCAGGTTCCAGTTGTTGAAGTGAGCAGCACCACACACACACCACCTTCTCCTGTAGGTGCAGACATTTAACGTGCCTCTCCAAATGAGTCTTGGCCTTGAAGGTTTTGCCGCAGCGATAGCAGGAGAACGGCCGGTCCGCGCCGTGGTGCTCCAGGGACGACCCGATGGCGAACTTCAGGCCGCACTCGAAGTCCCCGGTGTCTCGCCTCGTGTTCTTTATGATTGGATTGGCACTTGAACTGTTTGGAGCAAAACTTGCACTTGTAAGGCATAAACCCACGGTGAACTTTGTTAATGTGGAGCTTGATGATAACATAAGATAGACTAGTTATTATGAGACTGATATAAGTTTTATGTGTACAGTATCAGATACTGGTTGTTTCTCTTGTAAAAAAGAAAGTTGAATATTAAAACAAGTGTAATGTTTGTTGTATACATAATAGATGTTATTTTTAATAAATATTTCATATAATAAAGTGTTTTAATGCTTGTAACATTTACAGGTGGAGATGAGTTGGTGTAGAGCATCATTTGGATACTTTGTGGTTTATTGCCCATATGTTAATTAACTTAGTGGAGGGTGTATGAATTTAACACTGACATAATGAAAGTTAACTTTGACTTACTGGAAGGAAACTTTAGTTGTGTCTTGTTCTAGTTCATTATTAATCTTTATTGTGGCAAGTTTTGATGTGTTCGACCCTCAGTTAGATGAGAAATGTTACCTAACCATGAAAGGTAGGTTGCTGGTAGAGATAATCCTCATATATGGACAGGCCAGGGGAAGGGAGGCCTCACTCATGAAGTCTCCCATGTAAGCTGACCAAAGATCATTGATTTTCTGTGATGGAGAACATGGACATCTGCAGCATGTTATTTAAGAAGTGGGTGAGTAGTCAAATTGCATACGAGTCAGGTGGCATAAAAACCTAGATTAACTACTTTCTCATTAGGAAGTCAGAAGGGAAGCTTGTTAGGGGTGTAAAGGTCATAGTACTGTAAATATATTTTCTCTAAATGTTTAGTAACTAGGCTAATTAGGTAAAAACAGCTATTTCCAAAGTACAGTAGTACTTTATGTATAAGAGACTAACCGTTTAATGATTTAGTGTGGAGAGAAAAATTAGTGTACCCATACATGTACAGGTAGGCGGGTAGTGTGATTACCTGAGGGAGTTGCGACCCTGCCTTGCCAGCTGTTCTCACCCTGTGTGTTGCTGTTAGGAAGGGCATCCAGCAACAAAACTTTACTTCAACATACCTGATGGCAACTGAGTTATCTGAGGTGTGTCCATCCTCTGGTCTCTGCTGCATTTTCTTGGCTGGTGCCTTGGGTTTATAGTGGTGAGGGGTAGGAACATCCCATTCTGGTTTTACCAACAGAACAGCTACCATCAGGTAGTTTATGTGGCTCATATACTTAAACCCTTCTGTGGTTATGCATATTACCTGTGCTCAACGTTGGTAATTCTTAGTAAATACCCAGATGCAAATGTCAGTACATAAGCATCACAGTGTGGTGTATATCTTCCAGACACAATACAGTACTGTTAAAGAGATCTAATGTTTTTTAAATTTCTGCACTTGAAATAAGTTCAGGGAAAATACAGTAATTATCATACAGCATTGTTCTCCTGTAGGCATCACCATGTGTACAAAAAAAATTTTTCTTTGGGTATTTCAGTAAGACCATACACAAAACTCTTATAGGTAAAGGAAGAAGCTGATAGATTTTGGGAATGATAAGTTCAAAGGTTTGAGGAACAAGCTGTCACATTGATGATTATTGTTACATTAAAGAAATGAAGCTCTTGTAATTGGTTTAAATGCTAAGTTATGTTAGCATACTTTCACAAAAGTATCTCAAAAACTAATATAAGTGAAACTTGTATACTAAAAGGATGACAGCTTGGGTAAAGTGAATTAATTTTGGTTATAAGGATGTTACAGTGACATGACAGTATAAATCAAATCTGTTATTATCTCTGTAGCTCATTCTTAGTGCTTTTACCGAGTGATATGGTCATTGATGTGCAGCCATACAACAGTAATAACCATTTTTATATAATTAAGGATTAGTCTCAAAATGTATAGTTGTTAATTAATGATAATATAGAGTTAATGGCTTAGTTGGTAGCCTCTCAACTCATGAGGCGTGTTTCAGTTCTTGTGGGTGTAGTGTGATCTGTACTGTACTGCCATCATAGAATCAATTATCACTTTAAAAAAGTTCAGACTTGTGTGAGCCAAGTGGTGGTGTTAAGAGTCAGGTGGTGTAGAGTCAGATGGTGTTGAACCAGGTGATGTAGAGTCAGATGGTGTTGAGGTAAGGTGTAGAGCCAGGTGGTGTAGAGTCAGATGGTGTTGAGCCAGGTGGTGTAGAGTGGTGTAGAGTAGAGTCAGATGGTGTTGAGCCAGGTGGTGTAGAGTAAGATGGTGTTGAGCCAGGTGGTGTAGAGTAAGATGGTGTGAGGTGGTGTAGAGCTAGGTGGTGTTGAGGTAAGGTGTAGAGCCAGGTGGTGTTGAGGTGTGTAGTCGGTCTGGAGGTATGAGTGTTGGTGTTGAGGTAAGGTGTAGAGCCAGGTGGTGTTGAGGTAGGTGTAGAGCCAGGTGGTGTTGAGGTGAGGTAAGTGTAGAGACAGGTGGTGTTGAGGTAAGGTGTAGAGTCAGGTGGTGTTGAGGTAAGGTGTAGAGCCAGGGTGTTGAGGTAAGGTGTAGAGCCAGGTGGTGTCAGGTAGTGTTGAGGTAAGGTGTAGAGCCAGGTGGTGTTGAGGTAAGGTGTAGAGCCAGGTAGTGTTGAGGTAAGGTGTAGAGCCAGGTGTAGAGCCAGGTGGTGTTGTGGTGGTAGTGTAGAGCCAGGTGGTGTAGAGTCAGGTAGTGTTGAGGTAAGGTGTAGAGTCTGGTGGTAGTGTTGAGGTAAGTGTAGAGCCAGGTGGTGTAGAGTCGGGTGGTGTTGAGGTAATGTCTCTTAAATAATATCGTACACTATGGTCTAAATGTGTTAGTACAGTATTCTGTTGACAATAAACTATGAGGTTTAGATATGATAAAAGGTCATTGTACTGGAAACAAAACTCATGGGTCTTTGAAATATAGTAGTACTGTATTATACATACACACACACACACACACACACACACACACACACACATGCCTCATAACTGCTAAATTCACAAAGATCTTGGAATCATCTGATGTCCAACATGGTGGTAGTGAGGAAGGCAACATGGAACAGAAAATTCACACTGAATAAACCACCTTATTGACAATTCTCATTGATGGTGTTAGCTCATTACATACCAGTCTTACTTAGTCATGTGGTGCCAAGATGGTGAGCAACTTTTCTGACATAATAAGGATCCAATGATACAGTAATATATATCAAATTACACAAAAACTGTATTGAAGGGGATGGTAAATGTGTCATTAAGTTGACCACTGGGAGGATGTGAAAATATGGTAATTAGTTTTATCTAATTACAATAATTTCACATCAATGAACTGTGCTACAGGAATTTCAGAGATATCTATACTAAGTATTACGACATATAAAATGTTCCAAAGTCAACACAATAGTCTCCCTTCTATTATCTTGTCCATTGTACAGTACAAGGTCATCTAAAGTAATGCTACTTATGTGCGGCAGTGTGAGATGCAAGTAAGTGTCCTTTCAGGTCCACTCACTGGTAGTACAGAAGGTAATGTTTGTAATAATGGAAGTTACTGCTGGAGACTGAATACTTGAGTTACTTAATCATTTCTGGTGTAAAATAGCTGAGGAAAATCTATTTGCTAGATTGTCACATATAATTAAATTGTTTAATAAAAGTGATGAGTGGTGAACATTGGTGAGGCTTGGAGGTGAAAGGTCATCCTATTATCATGAATATATAACCCAGGTCATTAACATAATGATGTTTATGGGTTCTTTGACTGTACATGGTAAGACCCGTGTTGGCTTGTCTACCGAGGGTGATGGGCCAGTAGTTGGTGTGGCCGGCACAGTGTGGGCGTCAGTGTCTGACGGTGATGGTGGCCAGCCTGTGGGCGTTGGCATAGTTATTACTCTTGCGGGTTGGCAGCCGCAACATCCTGGCAAAGGCTCGCCGGAAATTATGGTTGCAAAGTGGATAGAGAACAGGATTGAGTGCAGAATTAAGGTATCCCAGCCAGATGGTGGCAGTGTGTGCATGGGCAGGGACACAAGTGTCACACAGTGCCATAATGGGGAAGAGAGTGAAATATGGCACCCAACAGGCCATGAAGGCACCTACAATGACCCCCAGCTGTCGTGCTGCCTTTCTCTCCTTTGCCAAGTTAACGCCCTCTACCCGTCGCGCTCCCCCGCCACCACCACCACCACCACCACTGTTGGTACACGCCACAGTCCGCTTTTTCCTGGTGCCATTTGTTGCTGTGGTGGTGGTGGTGGCAGGGGCTGTAATGCGGGGGCTGTTGGCTCCCTGCGACAAAGTACTCAGACGCCAGCTACTGCCCCACTTCTGTTCCCGGGCTCTGTGCGGTGAATGTGTGGAGGGGTCCCAGGATGAGTGCGGCCGGGTGGTGCTCTGGTAACAGTGTATGTGGTTGTGGTGAGGTCCCAGCCGGTTTGCTGCAGCTTGCCGCCGCTGTTGCTGTAGTTGATTTTGTTGATGTGGTGACAGCTGTTGGTGTTGCTGCTGCTGCTGTTGTTGTTGTTGTTGTTGTGATTGCTGGTGGTTGAGGTGATGGTGGTGGGTTGGGGAAGTCTGGTCAATTTCTTCAGGAAGATATTCAACACTAACCACCACCCCTGAGTAGTGTGAGCAGTCATCACTTCCCGGGGAAACCACAGTCAAGCTGCGGAATTGACTGCACTCGTTATTGGCTGTGATGGAGGGGAGGTTGTGTGAGGACGACTGGTTGTTGCGGGCCTGATGTGGAGGGCGGGAGTGCCGTTCTACCTCACTGCACGAGTCTGTGACAAGATCATGGCTGGTGAAGGGAACCCGGCCAAGCACCTGACGTGACTGCACCTCTCGGAATATGCGACAATAAAGGTACAGCATAAGAGCTGTGGGCAAATAAAAATTGAGTGCAGCTGTAACAGCCTTAAAGGCAGCGCTGGTGGAGAACTCTGTCTCACACACATGAGGTGGGTGGCTTCTGATACCCCCCAGTGCCAGATGGTGCCAGGCCAGTACAGGCACCAACCATGCTGTTGCTGCTGTCCACGAAGCTCCGATCATTACCCAGGCTCGCCGTCTAGTACGCCGCCGCAGGTAGCGCAGTGGAGCAGTGATGGACCAGTACCGGTCCAGGGACAGGATCACCAGGTTGAAGATGGAAGCTGTGGAGGCTGTGTAGTCCGCAGCCAACCAGAACTGACACACTACGAGTCCCAGCCGCCACTCTCCTGTGAAGATAACACACTTTAACACTCCCGCTAACAACTGAAGTGTGACAATAGCCTTTCCATAAACTACGAATACTGTATAAGAGAAAATACCTCTGCCTCGGAAGCTTATCTTGGAAACATACAGAAAATTTGTAGATCAGCAAGTTGGGAAGTTGCTGATCCTTATCTTGATGTAAAGAATGTACAGTACTGCACTCATCTCACCACTCAAAAGGTCAGTCAGAAAGTTCAATCTCTGACATTGTCAAACAGTCAATCCAGTCTCTGCCATTATCAGTCAGTTAGTCCAGTCTCTGCCATTATTAATCAGTCAATCCGGTTTCTGCCACTGTTAATTAGTCCTGTCTCTGCCAATCAGTCAATCTATTAATGTTTAGTGGGTTATTGTCATTGCAATTTGTTATGTGTCATACAACAACCTGTCAAACTGTCTGGTGCACAGTACTTTCTATCACAGCAGTTATAATGGTTGTAATATTCAAGGAGAATATCTAACTAAAAATATATATAGAAGAAAACTTATTTCTTATCCCTAGAATAAAGCAAATTGGTTGGAGGAATTATTTTTTTTCTTCTTCTTGTAAATACTGTCCAGTAAAGATACAATGTGCCCATCTCCTCCAAGCCCTAGGTCATTCATTGGTTGTTTGCTGCAATGAATTCTGGTGGAAATTTGGGGTTGATTCAGCTATCTTAGTTTATATCTTGTTTGATCTATGAGTTATTATATTTGACGCTAAAATGACCAAAGTTAACAGAATAATGTTACAAGTAATGTCTATGAAACGTTCCTCCTCTTGCTCCCATAAACAACTGACTAACACACAACAGACAAACATGGTGTTGTCCAGGGATGGGTGACACGAAGCATCTTTATTTACGAGAAATATAGGAAAAAAAAACAGAATACAAAATATGTTAATCCTCCATCCTATTTGGTTTATTCTAGAGATAATAAATAAGTTTTCTTATGTAGGTATTTTTCGTTTGGTCAAAGGTTAATCTTGACCCTTTGTTCACCATTAACGAATGATGGAGTATGTGTGTGTGTGTGTTACTCACCCACCCACCCAGCATTAAGTGGGTCAAGGCTTGAAAGAGTAACAGTAAATACCACATTAATATTTCCAGTACAGTTTGTTGTTAATTTTAAAGCCACTGTACTTGTATACATTTGATTTTCTTCCACTATGATATTTTTTGTCGTCTTAGACTTATCTCTGACTTTACATTGAATATAACAAACAGATCAGTATAATGATTTCAGTTTTTAATGTAACTCATGACATCAATAGAATTTTACTTTTATATGTGAATATCACCATAAATTGACTTTGATGGAGGACTACAAAATTAACTGATTTTTAAATGTGACCCAAAAAGTGACTTAGACTATAACAATATGTCTTCAGCTATAAATTTATCTGTAGATATACAGTATTGTTTAAGGTGTTAGAGAAGTCCCTGTGCACCTGCAGTAATTAAAAATATAGTTTCTGTATTTACCTATCTCTACTTCCAGTAAATATTGAAAATGGTCACAGTAAATGTTGAAAGTGGAAAATGTATAATATGGACATGAAGTAGTACCTTAAGCTATGTATTCTTATATTACTCTATTAATTATGTATAGTAAAGTATTACAGAACATATATTAATCCTATGTAATATTTCCATTTATTATGCACCATGTTATGTATATGAATTATCATATTTACATTTTATGTATTCAGCTTGTGAATGCTGGCATCTGTACATGCCAGCGCGCAGTGGTACAGAGAATGGAGACCACCAGTCCTTATGGTGTGGAAGCGAGTTTCTTTGTCCATCTGTATATCTCCCGTACGAGAATAAGAACCTATTTTCAAGATAACAAGTGTTTGTGTATACCCTCAGTAGTGTAGAACATTTTGGGGGTACCAAAGACAAACATAGAGAAAACATTCCCAATATTTACTGTAAATACAACAAGGTACAGGTGTCTCCTGATTTATGATCATCTGTTTTACGATATTCCGGTTAACGATAATTAGTTTTTTAACGCCTGTATTCAATTTCCGTGAGGCAAAATCCACTGCAAACGATAGTTTTCACGAGGCTAAACTTGCTGATGCAGAATGTTAACACTGGAGAGGTGGATCTTTCCCTTCACTTGTCAAATCCAAGATGATCAATATGCACAGAAACTGCTTTTCCATCCACCATGCAGCATCACCTACCCATGTACCGCCTCACGGCCAACGTGATTGATCCTGTCATGTAACCAATGTTATTGTTACTTATCGTTGCATAGCCTTGTGATCACTGTGATACTTTGCTGTTATTAGAAAGAGGAGAATGTTAACATTCAGATTTTGCTTTGTTTTAGTGACTGAAATGATTATTAACTGTGTAGGATCGTAATTTCTGTGCGTGGTGAGTGTTATTTAATTTATTTATTTGTTTTGTGAGCGTAGGATCGTGTTTTGTGTGTTGCATGTCTCTGCTGTACAGGTCAGGATTGCATCCCATTGAAACACATGTTAAATGGAGCCCAATTTGCGTTAGAAAGGTTTCCAGGAATGTAACTGTCATAAATCGGGGAATACATGTACAGTACTGTACATATAGGTATAACAAGGAACAACTATAGTATTAATTACTTCAGGTGCACAGGGCCTTTTCTAACACCCTGCACAGTATATTTCTCATCTTGCATGTAACTTTGAGACAGATTCCCAACTCTAATTTCTCCAAAGTTTTTTAACAATGAGTTCACCAAACTTTGTCATTAACTTAAGAAAGACTTCAATTTAAACCACATATTTTTGGGTTCAACACTGGACTTCAACTATACCATAGGCTTTAACCTCTTACTCAAACTTTAACTTGAAGTTTGTTAAAGGTAACCATTTATCCCAACACCAGAATGCACTATTTTGGTCTCATTGTTGTCTTTGACTAAGAGTTGATGTTTTTAACCACTGACTTTTTTTGGCTCATTGACAATTGATCCCAAATTCAAGGTTTTGATCTCAGCTTACACACACACACCCGGGCCTTACCCATCATGGCGTAGGCAGCACTGATGGGCATGACGATGACCCCCACAGTAAGGTCTGCTGCTGCCAGACTCATGATGAACAAGTTGGACACCTGGGAACACAAAACTTTAACTTATTATTTAATTAAGTCACACAAACACAACTTATCTATTTCCATTATTTATTGACCCAATTATACCTCCTGGAAACACAACTTACATCATAAAATTAATTAGTATCATGTGGACATCAACCTACCTGTTTGAACTGTGATTATTGATTTAATTAACTCCTGGGGACATACCTACCTGTTTAAACTAATTAATCCCTTAAGTTTCACCTGAGGAGACAGAACCTACTGGCTAAAACTGTCATTAGTCATTTAATTAATTCCAGGGGACAAATCTTCCTGTTAGCTAGAATTATTGATTAACACCTGAGGACTGTCTGAACTGTCTAAGTATTTACTTAGGAGTTTAAATAACAGTGAGTGAATAAAGACATAAATGAGGACAGACAGACATGGGGTCTTGTGGGAGTAGTGTCACAACACATGCTGGGCGCGTGGGTGGGCTAGCTGCTTGGGTAACTCAGCTTAATTCATATTCTGCTGCCATTGTACAAAGTTGTTCCCCCGTTCACTGCTGTTTTTGTATACAATTTGTGCTATGCATTACTGTACCAAGACACAATTAGCCAAGAATACAATGTTAAAGCAGTGTTAAGGTGTGAAAAGTTAATACAGTTACATATACTGTACTGTATTCAGTAAGTGTGAAAGTACTATACATAGCAGAGTAGACAATGTATGCCTACTGTAGGCTAGTGTGTAGAGGTATATGTATTGTATACAGTGCATGTACTGTACAATCCCTCCTTCAGGGAGGGACAGGAGAGTGACAGTAACACATGGTACAGGACAAAGGCAGGCCATCCTGCATCATCATATCACCATTTGGCCTGCCTGCATCACAAGCCCAAGGCAGCAGCATCTGTTAGTGAGCACAGTATGTATGGTGTAAACAGTAGTATATTTTTTTAGTTAAAACATATTATATGTGTACCGTGGTGTTTGTGTAAATAACTATAGCTCCGTGTCTGTTTGTGGAATATATGTACTGTAGTTTAAACTCTGGGAAAACTTTACCCAGCACCTAAAAACATTCCGAGGATGTGCGACAATGTCTGTCCTTGCAAGATGTGTTGTTTAGACTCTTGGAAATCTTACCCCAGTTCCCTGAAAAATTACAGAGATGAGAAATTCGTCTCAATACTCGGAAATCTTTCATTCCCAGAAGAGCTCTGCACCAATTATTTCTGTATAGTGGTTGTATATGTACAGTGGTTGTGTAAGTACTGTATTGTGGTATTTTGAGGATACATGTATACGTGTAACCAATAAATATAACACTGTCTACTGTGGACTAGCAAGATGGCCACATACCGTCTGGAGGCGCTTCTCCGTCCTGATAGCATGGATGACGAGGGCGTTGCCGACGGCAGTGCAGAGGGCGAGGGTGTAGAGGGCCAGACCAGTAACTGCTAGGAGTCCTGGGCCCCACTCTCCCCCAGCCCCGGACATCGACTCCCCAGACCCCCACCACCCTGGAGCTTCCTCCTCCCGTGTCACATTGATGCCCAGTTCCACTTGAGTGAAGTTCCAAGAAGTGGAGAGGTTACCCCAGGAGCTACTCAGGTCCCACATCCCTGAGGTCACATCCCGGGAGGCGTCCACGGTAGACGTAACTCCAGCATCATCCTCAGTGCAGTTACAAACCACGATGTCAATATGGCCAATACTGTGGACTGTGGCGTCCTGTACCGCCACGTTGGGAGGTGGTAGGTACTTAGGGAAGACACCATGAGAGATCCTGTACCTCCTACTGATGTTGTAAGCCAGGTCATCGAGAGTCTTGAAGGGTGTCGTGTCTATCTCTGTCAGGAGATATGACGGGGAGTCCATAGCAACAAAACCTTGTTTACGACGTAACCTTGATGATGTGGCTGAGGTGCCTACTTAGTATTCATGTCCTGAACAATCTCAATTTGCTCCGCATAACATTCTCAACTTGTCTCTATCAAACAACTGACTAAACTGTACCTGAAAACTTTCCATGTTTTCATGATGTTATGTTGTTATGTCTGCCTAAAAACTTACTCAAACAGAAGAGTATCATCCAGCAACATGTGCCTCTAATACCATCATTGCCATTGTTTTAGATTATGTAAACACGGAGGCACAAGGTTGCTCCCCCAGAATTTAGAGTTTGCCTCAAAAACAAACCAGCTGTTTTTAAGTATGAGGGCTCTTACTGTTTGCACTGTGCCTCATACTAGTGTACTTTCTTATCTTGGTCTCACTTGTAGCAATATGATGTAGATGATCCGAAAGTACCCAAATGCCTGTACTCGAAAGCAATTCAAGGATGTTGACGATGCCTCCATGAGACATTGTCTTCTGGGGAGGTAAAAGAGACTCGAGTATACTATAGTTTTTATGTTAGCACAAATTGAAGACCCAAAACCTGTGGAGTGTTGCCTTACTCGTGTCTTTGGACAAGGCTGGGAAAACTTTTTTCTTTTCTTTTTTAACAAAATGAGGTGCAAGATTTTCAACTAATATTTAACTTCTCTTCCAGACAGATGAGACTAGTTGGTAGACTTCTTATGCTTGGCAGACATGGGGAAAGGAAAGACAATTTTTCTTTTAGATGTTCAAGATATGCTGGTCACGTGTGACGAGAAGGAGGCTCCACGCACTGCCTCGGCCTATCTCCCACACTCATACCTGCCGAAGAACACTGACATTAGATTCAAGGCAAAGATTCAACAACATGGTGCAGAAACATGTACAATACTGTATGGGTGGTGAGTGAGGCCAATAAAAAGATACAAGAAAAGAGTATGGGCAAGATGAGGGTGGCCAAGAGGAAGAGTTGGCCAAGAGGAAGAGTTGGCCATGTTGAAGAGTGCAGCCAAGAGGAAGAGTTTGCCAAGAGGAAGAGTTGGCCAAGATGAAGAGTGTAGCCAAGATGAAGAGCGCAGCCAAGAGGAAGAGTGTGGGCAAGATGAAATGTAGCTAAGATGAAGAGTGGGCAAAGTGGGCAAGATGAAGAGTGTGGAGAAAACTAGCTATGCTGGACTCAGTGGCCTTCTTTGAGGTGTGGAACCGTCAGTTCTGACGTGGAGACGAGACAGTATAGTTGGGTTTCTACAAGTACATAATATATAGAGCCAAGATTTTCACCATCTATTTATTTATCCATTATTCATTTAAGGTTTTCTTGTAATTTAAGTAATACAAATGTTTTAAAAGTAAGCTTGTCACTTTCTTATATATTAACTTAACAAGGTCTAGTGAATACCGAGGAAAAGGTGTATAACTGTATGTGCCTTGAGAGCCCTTTACCTTATTATCAATATTACATAACAAGAACTATAGGTATTTGTAAACTGGAATTGAAACATAAAGGTGAACTGAATCATAATCCTCTTGTGATGAACTCATCAACTAGGGTATACCCACATGATGGCTTCTGTGTACCTTAATTAATGACCACATAGTAAATAACCTATGTAATTGCTACCTTTATGATGATCTAAGTACTTGTATACTTATCACTAATTGACATCCAAGTGCCAGCATAAAGGTGAACTGAATCATAATCCTCTTGTGATGAACTCATCAACTAGGGTATACCCACATGATGGCTTCTGTGTACCTTAATTAATGACCACATAGTAAATAACCTATGTAATTGCTACCTTTATGATGATCTAAGTACTTGTATACTTATCACTAATTGACATCCAAGTGCCAGCCTCTTCCACTCCCTCCACTAACCATCCACCCCTCCCTCTCTCCATCCACCCCTCCCTCTCTCCATCCACCCCTCCATCCACCCCCTCTCTCCTTCCACCCCACCCTCTCCTTACCTCCTCCTCTGTCCTTCCACCTCCTTCCCTCCCTTCCACCCCTACCCTCTCACCTCTTCCTCTGTCTTCCACACCTCCCTCCTTCCCACCCCTCCACCTCCTCACCTGTCCTGTCCTTCTCTCCCTCCCTTCCCCTCCTCCATCCCCTCCCCCCTCTCTCCTTCCACCTCCTCCCCTCTCCCCCCCTTCCCCCCTCCCTTTCCCCTCCCCTGTCCTTCCACCACCTCCTCCCCTCCCCTTCCACCTCCTCCCCCTCCCCCCTCCTCCTCTTCCACCTCCTCCTTCCTTCTCCCCTCTCCTTCCACTCCCCCTTCCACATCCTTCCCCATCCTTCCACCTCCTCCTCTCCTTCCTCCCCCCTCTCTTTCCACCACCTCCCCACTACCTTCCCCTCCTCCCTCTCCCTTCCACCCTCCTCCCTCTCTCCTTCCACCTCCCTCCCCTCTCTCTCCCTTCACTCCCCTCTCCTTCCCACCTTCCTTTCCTTCCTTCCCCCTCATTTCACCCCTCTGGGTTGGGCTGAGAGAGGGCAGGTTGGGAGGAGAGAGGGAGGGAGGGAGAGAGAGGGAGGGTTGGGCTGAGAGAGGGATTGGGAGAGAGGAGGGAGGAGGGAGGGGACTGAGAGGGAGATTGGGAGGAGAGGAGGAGGTTGGGCTGAGAGAGGAGGGCTTGAGCTGAGAGGGGAGGGGGGGAGGGGTTGGGAGGGAGAGGAGGAGAGGAGGTTGGGCTGAGAGAGGGTTGGGCTAGGAGGAGGGGGCTGAGAGGGAGGCTGGAGCTGAGAGAGGGAGGGTTGGGCTGAGAGAGGGAGGGTTGGGAGGAGAAGGAGTGGAGGTGGAAGAAGAGGGGGAGGAGGATGGAAGGAGAGGGCGTAGGGGTGAATGAAGAGGAGGGGTGGAAGTTGACGGAGAGTGGGAGTAGGTGGAAGGAGATGGGGTGAAAGAAGAGGGGGAAGGGTGAAAGGAGAGGGGAAGGGTTGAAAAGAGAGCGGGAGGGGTGAAAAGAGAGGGGAGGAGGGGGGCGGAGAGGTGGAAGGGTAAAGAGAGAGGGTGGAATCGAAAGGACAGGGGGAGGGAGGAAGGAAGTGATAGGAGTGGGGTAGGGAGAGGGAGGGAGGGCTGGACGGATAGGGGTACACACAGTATATTGAGATTTAGATTTTTTTGTCAGAATTGAAATTTAATGAATCTACTTAAGTACAGTCTCGTTCAAGATTCTTCAAACAATGCTGGAAACAGCTGGCAACTCAATTCCGTTCTTTACTATAGTTAGTAGTATAATATAATACAAATCAACAAAGCCCTACCATTAACTAAGCAACGGGGAACTAGGTAACCAATCACCGATAACCTTTTACATGCTGTTTCCAGCAGTGTTCGAAGAATCTTGAACGAGACTGTACATCCAGTAACACATTTCACTAAAGAGTGACCTTAAAAAACGTTGAGAGACGATATATATATATATATATATATATAGATATATATATATATATATATATATATATATATATATATATATATATATATATATATATATATATATATATATATATGCAAGTAAATCACTGTAGGTGCTTGATCTAGTATATATGCTGATAACCACAAGGAAAAGAAACACAGTTCCCAAGCGCTGTATAATCTACATCTTCAGGGGGGACTATATATATATATATATATATATATATATATATATATATATATATATATATATATATATATATATATATATATATATATATATATTTCCATAAAGGAAGGAAGAGAGATGAGAGAATAATGTGAAAAAGATATTTATTAATATTTTGTTATTTATAATTTATTTATGGTATGGAAAATCTTATTATATTTTATTGACGCTTTTATTTATGTTTTTCTATCACCCACTAAGACTGTCACCCACTAAGACTGTCACCACCAATATGACTGTCACCCACTAAGACTGTCACCACCAATATGACTGTCACCCACTAAGACTGTCACCACCAATATGACTGTCACCCACTAAGACTGTCACCACCAATATGACTGTCACCCACTAAGACTGTCACCACCAATATGACTGTCACCCACTAAGACTGTCACCAATATGACTGTCACCCACTAAGACTGTCACCACCACCCACTAAGACTGTCACCACCAATAAGACTGTCACCCACTAAGACTGTCACCACCAATAAGACTGTCACCACCAATAAGACTGTCACCCACTAAGACTGTCACCACCAATATGACTGTCACCCACTAAGACTGTCACCACCAATATGACTGTCACCCACTAAGACTGTCACCACCAATATGACTGTCACCCACTAAGACTGTCACCACCAATAAGACTGTCACCCACTAAGACTGTCACCACCAATAAGACTGTCACCCACTAAGACTGTCACCCACTAAGACTGCCAACCATTACTTCTGGACTCCATTATTCCTTTGGATCCCTTATGACTAAAAGCCATTAGCACTTGAAGCCAACACTAATGGTCAGGGAAGTGTGTTAGGGCCTTGATGAGTCTTACCACCACAAGGTCACCTGGACGACAATACTGGCAGAAACAAAGACGCGTTTTAGTGAATGAAGAGGCAGAGAAAGGGGGTTAGGAATAAGAGGGAATGACCAAAAGAGGTAGAGAAAGAGGGGGAGAGGGAGGAGAGGGGGGGGTCGTGTTGGCAATGAAACAAGCGTCAAGAATAGGAGGCAGAGAAGGAGGTAAAAAATATACAGTACAATATTCTTCACCTAAGATTAATTTTGTTCATTTTAAGTAATTCATTATATTTCTTGAGTGAATAACAGTTAACTTGGCCTCTCATTGATTCGTATATTTGCACTTTTTTCCCCGACTCTAAGGATATAGCCAAGCAATATCTTGACTCAGAAGCGGATATGAGTTTAGGTGGGGTCAGGTCAGGTCAAAAGAGGAGTGGGTTAGGTTAGGTTAAGTCAGGTCAGGGGTAGGTTAGGTCAGGGGTGGGGTAGCTTTGGTTAGGGTTAGGGTTGGGTGGGGTAGGTTAGGTTAGGTTAGCTTCCTACCTGAGTACCAAAAAATCACTCTTAGAAATTTACCAACATATTATAAGACACATCTATGTTCCCCTACATCACAAACACACACTTGCATCACAAACACACCCCTACATCACAAACACACCCCTACATCACAAACACACCCCTACATCACAAACACACCCCTACATCACAAACACACCCCTACATCACAAACACACCCCTACATCACAAACACACACGCACAAAATCACTCGTTCCATTACCCAGATCATTATAGAGTTCATGAATATTCAAATATGATCTTAGTGTTTGGTAAGGAATGAAATATGACCTGGTTAATGGCTTCACTTACCTTCAATCAACCTACACACTCAGGTACACTATAGTCAATCAGTGGGTGGTTTTTAGCCCAGGTGTGTGTCTTTTATAAGGTAAGAAGGTTAATGCTTGTTGACCTAACCTTGAGTTTATGGCGTGTGACCTAATGATGTGTACAGGGGCCGTGAGAGAGGGCTGATATATACACACACACACACACACACACACACTATAAAAACTCTCCACTGGATAAAATTATTCCATAACTGAGCAGTGGAGTGGAGGGCGGGTGGAGGGTGGGTGGAGGGCCGGTGAAGTTAACGACACAATCACCTTGTTCAACACGCGGAACCTCCCAGGGGACCGCCCACCTCCAGGCCACACCCCTGAGGAACGCCTTAGGGAGGGAGGAAGGGTAGGGGAGGAGGGAGGAAGGGTAGAGGAGGAGGGAGGAAGGGTAGGAGAGGAGGGAACTATTAAATGAGAGAGAAACGGGAGGAAGGGAGGGGGTGTATCTGGTGTGT